ACAGAAAGTAGAATTCTGCATATGCTTTTCATATTCCTTAGGAAATAATCCAGAATATAAGAGGCAGCAGCAAAAACAATACGAAAACATCGTAATATACCTATGGGTGAATGGCTTTAACAAATACGACACAAATAACAACAATTATCATCGGGAAGAACTATTGCACAAAGCCATTAAATCATTAAATATTCATTCACGGATTCAGAAACGACACTGCGATATAGCGTGTTCCTTTCGTAACCGTTAGACCCTCGTGAAGGTGTGTTAATCGACCGGGGAACATTGCTGCGTAACCTGAAAATGCATTTTGATGAGAATATATCTATCCATCAGCGGTGATTTCAGTAGATTATTGCCTTACTCTTCCTGAATTACTGGATGGGTTCAAGATGAACAACACTCATTATGTTAGACATAATATTAGATCTCCACTAAAAAAACAATAGAAAGAGCATGTGAAAAGATACGACTTCCAAAATACAAGCAAAAAATCCTCAGCAGTCGGTATGACTATTCTGTTTCTTTCGATCCTGGAGTCGCTTTGTGAACATCTTCACGTACAGTAAATTTGACTTGCCCATGGATCATATATAATAAAATGCCAGGTATGGATGAGAAAACATCCGAATATGACACAGGAAGCTTATCAACTTCCAAAAAGCTTAACGAAACATAAGCCTAAGTGACTGACCAACTCGATCCGCATTAACGGTACAATTGTAGCGAACGTAACGAACGCCGCCACCCTCGAAATCACGACCTCGTTGATTCAGTGGCACATCAATGGTATAGGTGGAAGCATCATGATGTGGCCTCAGGAATGACTGTTCACCGGGTTTATATCGCACAACAAACATCATAATTGCTTCTACGGGCTGTAAAGCACAATCAGTTCAATGAAGATGTTCAGTTCGATGATGGAGCAATGAAATATCATTCTTCTATAATTTAGATTGTTGCAGTCCATGGAGAGTCAACTCCATGATGAAGCCCCTCATGTGACCCGATCGTAATGATAAGAGTGGACTCGAAAATGATATCCTTCAAGCTGTACGACGAAAATAAATCATAACGTCATAGAACTGAATGCGTTTTTTTCATAAAGATTATTTTTCCTAAATAGAAATGTTCCATTGTGATTGCTGATATCGAATTGTATTCACAAAACTATACGGATGAAATTGCAACGTAAATTAAGATAATATATCACAATTCGGTTACACCTTTTGGTAATATCCGATGAAAAGTTTCTCTTGCATTGGTCGCACATATTCATCCAGGAAATACAACCAATGCCTTTCGAAATCAA